TCTTATCATTCATTTGGAATGATAATTTGATTATTCCAAATGAACGATTCTTTTATTATTCATTTGAAATGATAAATTTAATTATTTTAAACAAATGATTCTTTTATCATTTGTTTAGAATGATAATTTGATCATTCTAATCGATTCATTTTCTTATCATTCATTTGAAATGATAATTTGATTGTTCTAATCAAACGATTTTCTTATCATTTATTTAGAATGATAATTTTATTATTCTAATCGAATGATTCTTTTATCGTCATTTGAAACGATAAATTTAATTGTTTCAAACAATCTGAAATTTTGGATTAATCTGAAATTTTTGGTTCAGTTCAGATTTTTTTCAGTTCAGATTAGATTTATAATCCGAAAAAAATCTGAATTGAACCAAAAATTTTCAGATTGAATTTTTTGCAATCTTAAACTAAACCAAAGTTGATCTGAACTGAAAATTTTCAGATTAATCCGAACCATTCAGAGCTTTAGTTAAGATTCTTTTAAACTTTAATCCAAACATTTTAAATAACTAAGATGCAAAATATTATATCAAAGAATTTGAAAAAAAACTCTTATTTTTTACTTTTCACTAAAAAGTATTAATTAATAATCATTTTCAGGTATTAAAGCAAAATTTAAGATGATAAAATATATAAAATAATGTAAGAAACCTTAATATAAATGCATAAGTATGAAAATGACAAGTAGTATAAAAATTAGTGATAACAAAGGCAATTACAAGTGCAAAATAAAAAGGAAAAGTGAATTATTTTAGCAGATTTTTATTGTAACAAATTTATATAAAACTATCAAAAGAAATTTTTATTTTTGATCAACTTTTATTATCTCAAAAAATTGATTTTATTAAAAGTGACTTTTTTTAATATTACACAAAATTCTATTATTAAACGAACAATTATCAAGATAATATTTCCAATATAATTAATTAGTATACAAAAAGTAACTGCAATAGTTTTTTAAAAAATAAATTACAAATAAAGAGGGAAAATGTAAATCTTTGACAATCTAATAATCTATTCATAGCAATAGAATTATCAATTATAGAATCTTATTGAACTAACCTATTTAATATATTTATTATATTACAAAGATATGATCTTGAAAAGAGATTTAAATTTTAAATTTTTTTTTAAAAATATATGTATAGATAGCTGATGAACATATTTCTCCAACAAAAAAATAACTATTTTCTTAAAATCTCACATCATATAACACTGATAGAAAATTAATAATCTTTAAGCTTTTTTTTGAATTTCCTAACTTAGTATCAATTTTCAACTTCATATTCATATTTTATATTTAAATAAATAATTTATTATAATTTTACTAAAGCTAATTTTATATAACACCTAACTTAATCTTGAATTATATTATAAATAATCTAAATATCGAAGAGTTCACCTGAATATATAAGAGATAATGTTATAAAACTATTGATGCTAAAGTAATATATTATTTTAATATAGTTTTGATCTAATGTAAATCATTTTTAAATATTTTTATTTGTAATGAAAAAGAATCAATAATGTACTTTATATAACAATTCTGAAAAAATGCGCTGTTTTCAGTTATAATCTTTTAAACTCTTAAATATTAAAATAAATATTAGTAGAAATATTATAATTAAAATCAGAATCTATATGTCTCATATTATTTTCAAAATAATGTTAATCTATTAATTAATATTAATATTACATAATTTATATTTTATATGATTGATTTTGTAATGAATTATAAATTTTCAATACTAGCTTTCTTTTTTGATATGCTCCTTTATGATGCCATTATAAAGTTTTTTGAATTTAAAAACTATGAAGTATTATAAGCAAAGGTCAGAGAAGTGAAACTATAGATAAAATTATTTAATTTTATATTTACGTAAACTTAGTCAATTAGAATTACTGTAATACTGGGAATATCTATTATATAAATTAATTTGCTCAACAAAATTGGGTGAAATTATATTTTTTGGATTATTTTATCTTAATGATAATATATCATTACATTTTTTTTCTCACAAATTTACAAAAAAAATTGATGATACAAAATTTTTTATGGTTTAATATTGTAGGTCTTTAGAATTCAATAATGTATTAATAAAACTATCAAAACTTAATTGAAATTAAATTACATGAAAATAAAGTCTATGTAGAATTGGAATTCATTACTAATAAGATATCAATCATACTCATTACAGAAGCATATTTTTAATTACAACTAAAAGGTTAGTTAAAAATAAATTAGGAATAACTTTGATATTTTCTTTCATGATTATTATTGTTATGAATATTTTGACAAATGATATTTGATTGATCGTAAAACTGATATATCAGAGCTTTATATAAAAATGTAATATGGGAGTGTTTCTAGAAAAATCAGATTCTGAGAAATTTTTGACTAAAATAAAAAGCTTAATACATTTTAATTTAATAACATCAAAAACTAAAATGCAATAAAAATCTTAATTTTGCTAAAAAATTCTCAGAATCTGATTTTCCTAGCAATCAATCCATATAGCAATAAAAAATATATTCCCTAATCTGTTTGAATAACCTTTGCCTGGATTATTTTATAGTTATTTATCAAATTAAATTCTGAATTGTTTATATTACTACCTAATAAATTACCCTTACCAAAATCTAAAAAGAATGGAAATGAAGCAGTTTATATAAAAGAAATTAATAAAAGAACTATTAATTAAGAAAACATTAAATAATTTATTTTGTTACAATTTATCAATTCATCATAATACCAGGTATAGTGATGTATCTGATTATATAAACTAGAAAAGTTAAAAAAAAAGCAAAAATGATGTTTAGTTTTTATAAGCGTCTGTTCTGAATTAATTTATAATTTAATGATATCATAAATAAAAAAATTAAACTATCATTTCAGATAAGAGGCATTATTAATTTTTTTTGAATAATATATAATTTATTTCAGTTCTATATTCTTTATACTAAAAGATGAAATGTTTGATAAATACTTTAAATTTTAAATTATGCATATCTAATATTGAATAAGATAAAAAATTACATTGAATTTAAATATATTAAACAAATAAATAAATTAAATAAAAATTGGCATCTTATCCATTTAAATAGAAATAAAACTTATTATTAAAAAATTGAATTTACTAAAAATTTTCATAGAAAGAAATTTTTTGTCTTATATTTACTTCATAGTCATAAATATAAATATATATGTTTCAATATGCATATTGAAGTATCTCCATAATATTAAATATAATATCAAAAATTTAATTTCAATTTAAAGAATAAGCAACAAAATATCAATATAAAGTATTAAAATTTTGAAGAAATATATAAATAAAAGACAAGAACTTGAGTAATAATTTAATATGATAAAAATCTTTTTAATAATTCGTGTAATAGTAAGTTGAAAGTGAAATGTCTTTAGCTTATTGAATTGAATAAGGTACTGTAATCAAATTGGATTGACAAATGTAATGCAGTATATTGTAGATCCAAATGTCAAACATATCAGACATCTGACATAACTGATATATTAAATACATAAGATATATTAGATATATATAATATAGTTAATATATTTGATTTATTTGTTATATCCATCAATATATTAAATTTTATATAAATAGAAAATGATAAAATCATATAAATAATAGTTCCCTTTTAGTTCACTTTTAGTTTTTCTTTTAATTTGCTTTTAGATATATATTTAGTAGCACTTTTAGAGGCATCTAACCTAATTCCTGCACCTAGTACTTTTAGTTCTTCAATTCTTTTTATTTTCTTTCTTATTTTCTTATTTCTTTATTTTTTTTATAATTTCTTATTATAATTTTAAACTAATTAAACTATCTTACTTTTAGTATTGTTGAGAATAGATCACCATATAAATTATAAAAACTTGAGTTAAACTGAATTGGATTACTATATAAACTTAAAAGAATCATCACTCAAATACCCTGTCTAACTATTAAAATTCACAAGAATTACACATTACTATATGAAGGTATAGCTATTAAAGTAAAGTTAAAAAATAAAAAAGAAAATCTTCTTGGAATATATCTAATGAATTTATGCACTATGAGACATTATTTACATGAACCTTTTTCTTTCAAACTTTTCAATCATGATTATTTTTAAAAAAACAAATTTAAAATATAAATTTTTATTTAACAAAATTCAAAATAAAATCTTTATTTTAAATTAAATAATTCTGGATGAAGTTATAATAATGTTAAAAAAGAAAGGCAATATTAATCAATCCTTTAATAAATATTACCATAGTTTTTTTAGTTGAAATTAAAAAAGCTAAATCATTACCATTAAACTTGCTTATATTATACAATATACTAAAAAAATTCAGATAGTTGAAAAATTAATTTTGCTATTACTTTAACAAATCTATATATATTTAGAATTTATTTTTAAGAGGTTTATCAAATACTCTATTAATAAAATAAAAAAGTTATACATGATATATAATTTGAAATAAGTCATGTTACAAAATGAGAAGCATTAAGTAAATTATATTTAAAAAAGATGGATTTTAGATCTATTACTTGCTATATACCTAAATATTACTAGAGAAGAGCCTGGAATTTCAAATTTATTAAGGATTTTAAAGTTCCTCTAAAGAATGTTAACATATCTATTAACATTTTTAAGAAATGAATCATTGAAGATAATATTTATATTTATTTTCTAATTTTGTGTAATCTATTTTGCCATTTTAATATTTATACACATTTTCACTTTAATTTTAAAGAATAATTTCTTCATTTGAAATAATAAATAATAACTAGTTAATATCTTACAGATATTTCTTATTTTATTTAATTTTGAAAATAAATAAAACTTAAACCTCTCCTTTTTATATTTAAACATTACATTTAACTAACAATAATAGCTACCAGTGATCATATTACAATTTTTAGCTTTAAAAAATGATGCAATAAAATATAAGATAACTGCTTACTCTCTAAATACACATCAAAGTTCCTTAACTTCTGTTCTAAGCAATTTGTCAACTTTCTTATCTAATCCAAATACAAATGAGTTGTGCTTCAGGAATGTATCAAAATTATTAATTTAATATGGAAAATACTGTTATTAATAAAGCAAATAAAAATGAGAAAAAATGGTGTGTTGACAGAAATTACAAAATTATTGACAAAAATAGATAAGGTCATAGCACAACATAAAATTTTATTTCTACTATCCTTGCTAAAATTAGTTTAATTTTATTAGATTTCCTTTGATTTTATAAAAGACGTTAACTAAGTGTATAAATATATAAAGTTCTAAAAATAACTGTAATCATGATCATGAAATAACATATGGTAATTGAGAGAAATATACCATCTTTATCATATAAAATGTTAAGTACATATTTGGGATGATTAACTTTCTCTTTATATGTTTCTACTTTGTCAGCATAAGATTAAATTGAATCTTTCTCCCAAACTTCATTCTAGAGGTCAATATCTTTTTCTTATTCTTTAATCTCGATGATGTAGCTATCTGTTTCTTCTTCGTTATCATATTCTAATTCTTATTTGATCATTTTATCGAGTTTATCTTCAATAGTTACTGCTTAAATTCTTTTTTCAACTATACATTATACTGGAACTATAGCTTGTCTAATCCAGAAGTAAGAATCATTTCATTATTTTTAAAGTCAACATTAACTTTATATTTTTTACACCAATCAATTTCTAGCAATAAGGTTTGATCAGTCAAATCAATAACTTGAAAAGTCATCTTAATAAGAATTTCTTGAATAATTAATAAAACATTTTTAAGTGTTTCTAGTACTCTTTCTCTATTCATTTACAGTAACAATGATATTTATGAAGATTCATTGATATATAATCTAAGTTTCTTCATCAATTTGTGCATCATGATGCTTACTGCAACTTCTGTATCAATGATAGTAGTTACAGGGTTTTTCCTAATTTTAACATGATATCTCAATGCCATGGTTCGCTCTTCTTCTTCAGAAGTACTGATAAATACTGCATTTCCTTCTAATTTAGGTCTTCTCATTTCTTAAAGAAGTTTTTATTATTATAATCTGAATTGCATAATTTGTCTCATATTAATATTAGCTTTAATATTTACAAGATTGTCTCAAATGTTGTAAGGTTCAATATTATCTAAAAGTGATAGTCTTTTAGATATTCTCTTCCTAAACTTAGCAGTAATTTCTACTAATGTTTGAGGTATCTGTTCAGTTATCTCTATTGGTTCATTAATTGTCTGAGATCAAGTTTGTCTGGTATTAGTTTCTCTTTGTGATTCAGATCTTTTCCTCCTAATTGCTGAGAAGACTTTTTATTCAAGCATGTTTACTTTCTTTCTGTTTTGGTTATCATTTTTGGTTTTCCAGTTCTCTTGAGGTAAAACTTTTTCTGAAAGACATCATCTGGCTATATGACCTTTTTTTCACATCTAAAACAGATTAATTCTTTCCTTGTTTTGCTTTCAGGATTATAACTTTTTCTTTTAGCTGGATTAGTGATTAATATGGCCATAATGTTTACTTGCTTTAAAACCATTTATTTAAATTGTTTAGACAATTTTTCAATGTCATCTTCAACTTTTGGCTTGCTAAAATCATGTTCTATTGCATAATATCTTTCAGCTTTAACAGTTTTAGCTTGAGTAATAGCAGCATCTAAACCAGCTGGATTTTAAATTGCAACTAAGGTTGCTAATTTCTTATTTAATCCACTTAAGAACATTTGCACTTGAAAGGCTTTTAGAATTCCTTTACATCTACTTTATTTGCTAATTTCTTAAATTTAGATGCATAAGTTTCAATCTTTTCATTTCCTTATTTTAGATTATTAATTCTTATTACTATCTGTGTAATTTTTTGCAATGAGAAGTGTGTCAAGAATCTTTTTCTAAATTCTGTATTTATATCTCCATCTCATCTGTTAATTGTATTGCTTACTAGATTATACCAGTCAGCTGCTTCTTCCCTTAATATTCCTGCTGCAATTGCTATTCTTCTATTATCTGGCCATCTATTAGCTTCTTTCGCTCTTAAGAATATTTCAATCCATTCCTGAGCATCTTCAAAGTTTTTTCCATAGAAAGGGTCAACTTTTATAATAGAACTTCCTGCTGCAAGTGGTGCTGGAATATTAATACTATTAAATCCATTAGTCATACTAGTTGTAATTTGCATTATTAACGCATTGAGTTAGTCTGCTGTTATAGCTATTTTTGCAAGATTTGGTGGAGGGTTTCTCTGTAATTAAAGTGATTAGTGTTATGTAAGGTAATAAAAATATGTTGATATATTACTTCTTATTTAAAGTAATATGTAAAATTTAAGGCTAAATACTAAAGATATTGCTGCTTGTTCAGTGTCAAGACTTTGAGAATTATTAACGTTAAAATACTGTCCTATTTCTTTAAAATATTGTTCACTTAGAGACGAATATTTATATGCATGATACTGTTAGTGAATCTACTGATAGAATCTTTGAAATTGAATGCTTGAGTTTTCAGATAGTTAATGATAAATTTTACAAGGCTTATCAAAAGATTTTATGAGATATGTCCATTCTAAATATTTGAAGTGGTCTTCTAAGTGTTGTTTTCTCATTTTACTATATAGATCACAATTTATGTACTAGTAGAAATTTCTAAGTTGATTCAATAAGTTTCTTCTAATTTCTAATAGATTATTCCTATCTTTATGTAGATTAGATAAGTAATCATTGAGAGCTTTTAATCCTTTCTTGACTTCTTATTTAACTAAATAAATTATGTCGAGCAGTAATTTATTCTTTTATAAATAACTAATCTTTTAATTTCTCCTCTAACGTTAGGATAAATATAAATATAGCTAAGAAGTTCAGTAAGGGTATTCAATTGTTATTATAATTCTCTGATTACTAGAAAGATTTCAATGTCAATTTCTTTCAAGTAGATGATTATGCTGTTAATATTCTTTTCTAATCTTAATAGTTCTTGAATACTCATATAAATTGTATTGAATTATTGTTTCTGATTCTTATAAGAAGCATCAAAATGTTATGATAGTTTTGTAACTTTAAATAAAATCTCAAAAGGGTAAATAAGACCAAGACAATTACTCAAGAAATCACGGGTGAAGATTCATAATAATATCAAAAAATTATTTTCAATATAAAATACGTGAGATAAACACAAAATAACATAAAGGTAACTTAAAGATATTTTAGAGATTACGTTTTAAAGACTTCAAGTTAATACAGCGAATCAATACAATATCATATAATAAGTTCACTAATAAAGGGATTGCACAAATGCAAGGATTATAGATAATTTATAATAATTTCAAAGGGTTTGTGAAGGATAAGTTTTATATTTAGTTAATTATACTTTTTATTAATATAATATATAAGTTTAGTACTTAAAAAATTAACATCTCGTCAGTGCTGAAACTTAAAGAAAATATAGAGATATTTATACATGTTGAACAAATAATAAAATAAAATGAACTAAATATAATAAAAAAAATAAAGTTGCCATTTCACTAGGCAATAAAGTTACCATATTAATAAAATTGCCAAATCTGCAGGCAACTAAATGGATATCTATGATCTACATGATTATCAAAGGCAATAAAATTGACATCTAAGGATTTGCATAATTGATCAATGACAATAAAATGTACAAAATGATCTTTATAAAAGATTTACATGGCAATAAAATTAACTTTATATACTACCAATTAAATCTATCTAAAATTTTACCCATCACAGTGGGTAATATAAAACATTTTTTATACTTTTAAACGTGATGATATATTTAAAAATATTTACTAGTAAAATAGCAGAAGTAACTGAATTTATTATACGAAGCTTACAAAAATAATATTAAATCAAGTCATTTTATTTGTGTATTTTAGTTAATTGATATTTATGTCAGGTTGCTATTTTCATACTTTGAGAAGATCTTTTTTTCATATTTTGTTACAATTATAATCTTTTTAATCTTATTTGCAATTTTTAAATCATAATGATAAAAAGAGCTAAAAAAACTTAGAATTATAATAAAATTACCTACCTTTTAAAGTCCTTATTTAATTATTCTAGCTTTCTTAAAGAATTTCATGCAACTTAAGTTAAATTGCATATAAAAAGTTAGGTAAATAAAGATTCTGACATCTAAAATATCTCTACATTATCATATCAATTATTTAAATCAAATATAAATTTTTTTTAATCATTATTTAAGTTATTTATGATTCCATAAATTATTTATATTGTTACTGGGTTCATTTTCATTTATCTTAACGTCTAAGTTGAAAGGCTGCAGCAGCTGATTCTACACGTTGAAGTTTCCAACCTTAGGATTTTTTTTAAGTCCTATAAGTATCCATTATACTTGAATCAACTCGGTAATTTATCACGTCTTAGAACTTAAGATATGTTAGTCGAACTCGTAATGACGAACTCAATAGCAAGTTAGTGTAGTGT